CAGTTCGGTTAAAACCGCACCTATAGACAGAAAATCGAACCGCACTGAAACATCTGTGGTTTTCCAAATTCCAAACTGCACCGTTAACTGAACTCTTCAGAAACCGCACCGAATCACTTAATTCGGTTCGATTTTTCGATTTTGACTCGCTTTTGCTCACCCCTAGTTTTGAGAGTTATTTTTCGATTTTGACTCGCTTTTGCTCACCCCTAGTTTTGAGAGTTAGATACGAGTAGACTGAGTATTTATGAAAAAATCAAAATAAGCGTGAGAGAAATGTGAGTGTGTTAAATCTTAAGAAACAATTTGTGTAAAATTTTAAAACTAAAATCTATTTTTTTCTTAATGGCGGACTTGGCCCGCGGCCCGACCACCAAAACCCGTGACCCGCGCGGGCCAACCGGTTTAGGTCGTTCTTTGGCGGGCCTTTGAAATATTAGCCCAACCCGCGTATTAGATTGGTCAGGCCTGTACAACTTGCGGTCCTAAACCAGATTTGACAAGCCTATTTAAAACCAGAAAACACATCAATTACATAAATTAATATGTCCGTATACTCTTTGGGATCGCTTTGTACAATCATTGTATTTTGCTTCATGTATCTCTCTTTAGCATAGAGTGTTTTACTTTTTGTTTCTCACACATCTCTGTTGTTATGAGTAGCTTGACATGTATACATAATTCATAATTTTATTCCGGTTATAATAGAATGTATAACTTTTCCATTATTATTTTATTTTTATGTTTTTCCATTCACTGGCCCATTTTTTCAATTGATTGACATTTTTTTCCAAACTATTGAACTTTGTATTTGTATCATAATTACTCTATATATACTAAAATAGTTCAATAGTTAATGATTATGATCATTTTATGATATGTATATGACATGTTATATATTGAACTAAAATCCAATCAAACTTTTTGTTAGATTAAAATGTTATGTAAATAATTTGTTAGACTGAAATGTTATTAAATAAAAATCGCAACATATACTGAATATATACTGACTAGATAAAAATATTATGTATATCATATATTAAGTATATATTGACTGCGGACTATATACAAAATAAAAGTTCAAACATCACAATTGTGGTTAGATAAAAATGTTGTATAAATAAACGCAACATATACTGCATATTCAAGACTTCTGAGAGCTGAAAATTTTTACTAACTATAGACGCAACATATAGATCGTTGTAGTTGCAATATTGGTTGAAACGTAAGAATACAGTTTTTTTTATTTATTTTTTTTTTTTTGGACAAATCGTGTAGCATTGGTGTAAATTCGCCTATTGCGTTTCTTGATAAATTGTGTGACCACTTTTTTGGTTACTAATAGGCAAAGTGAAATTTTGAAGCGTGATTAACCCAAATTTTGAAGCGTGATTAACCCACTTTTTTTATTAACCCACGATCCATCTATCACATGATTTATTACCATTGACATCGTTTGTGCGCACTTTTTTTTTTCAATGACAAACAAATTCATTAAAAACTCAAAACAAGATCCGGTAACCAAATGGCTACAACCATACACCTTCTACACAAGTAGAAATGAACAACACGAGCAAGGTAAAACCTACCTTAGAAGCAACATGCCATACCAAACATAACAAGCCATAACATCCAAAATACAATATCTAAAAAGTAGTAAATTAAATTCAAGGCTCTAAACTTCAAGCAATTATGCAAAATGTAAATTAAATTTCTATGGCACAAAACTAAATTTACTAAATTGTCACGTTGCTTAAGTTGACCTTTTCACTGTGAAAATACATGTGTGA